CCAGAACCTGAGAGGACAGCTTAGAATTTAAAGCAGGTGTAACACAGGATTATTTTCCACTAATTTTCCCCAAAATACCTCTGATCTGAGCAACCCCTCCTCCTGCCTTCCTTTTAGTTGCCTTGTTGCAACATTTGCAATTTTACAGACATGTCCTTATTTAGCCAACCAGCTAACAGAAACACAGCTTTCCATTGAAGGCTAATTTAAAGTCTCAAGCACATGTTCTCAGCTGTTGCAGAATTATGCCACTAAGTGCAATAGGCTCTGTCATTTTACATCAGCTGAGAATCTACTTGCGAGGGCAAAATAAGTGGATGCAGCTGCAGTTCTCTTCCTTGGGAGTTGCCCCTCGCACACAACGGATTGCAGGTGTCTGAGAGTTGGTATTTAAAAAGGAAAAGTTTTTGAGATTTTTTTTTTTTTTAAATGTATCTGTTGAAGTTCATTCATGTACTCTCTCTGATGGCTGCCCAGGGTCAGTAACCCACCATACCCTAACTCACAGGAATGGATGTGGATAGAGCTAGCTTAGAAAACAGATTATAAGATCATAAATTAAACATTATCTCTCATGCCGTATCAAGTGGCAGAAGTAAGATAAAATTGAACATGTGACCCCTTTTTTCTTCAAATAATACAGTGCTGTTCAACAGACTTAATTATCCCTAAAGACACATCTAATAATTGTCAGCCTGTCAATCAAAAGCCTTATTAGACATGCGGATGACGTCACATCACAGTCTAACAAATCTTCCTGCCAGTCAAAAGCCTTTATATAGATTATTCTGATTTCAGAGGCAATTTTTGTGTTTGACCTTTTACCTAACTTCTTTCGGGCTGAAATCGGAATGGAGCTGAATGTTTTCTTTGTGCTGCCAAGATGGGATGACAGGCTATGGACTGTCTCTAAGAGTTTCCCTCCTGGCCATGCTCTGCTTTACACTGCAGCATGGAGCCTGGAAAGGGGCTGTACCCTGGATGTCTGAGTGACCAGGGGTGAATCTGCATTGCTACAGGAGAGCTCTTCTCCCGCTTCTTCTGGCCTGTCTGTACCACGGCATTAATTCCCTGGATGCTGGGGATACCATGAAGCCATGCTTCACTGAGATACCTGCACCAGGTTTCGAGGTGATATGGTCCATCCCATGTGCACTGTATGCCCACTGCGTTGCTGTGTCCATGCACCTGCGGCAGTGCTGTGCTGGGGGATGTCCCGGAGACTTTGCCCCAGGAGGAAATACCTGCTTTGCTACGAGAAAAGCATGCAGGCATGAACAGAGTGGGGACCGTACTGACAGCCCAGGGAGCTTGCCAGCCTGAGTGTCAGGGTGCCAAGGGTGGGAAGTAAATGCACTAATAACCACTGGGATTTGAAAGGCAGCCCCATCCAGGTTTCCCAGATCAAACAGGCAGGCACGTCACACTGCTGTGCTGTTGTGCTGCCCTGGGCAGCTCCAGGCTGTGCTGCAGGTGCTGCAGGCACAGCTCTGTGCCGGCCCAGCAGCTGTGGAGGGCTTTGGAGAGGCCGGATTTCCTTTGCTAGCGAATGCAGGTTACCAGAGATACTCCACGTATTCAAGGTACCCCTGCAATTTCAGCACCAGATTTGTATCTGTGAATATAAAATCGTCACTGGCAATAACTTGCAATTGTTTCTTGAATGGCTTTTGGTAGAAAGCAATTAATGACATTTCCAGCTGCTGGAAATGTCACCTGTTCTGTTGGGGTCTCGTAGTGTCACTTTTCTCTCCCTTCCCACAACCCCAGGCAACTTTGCTTCTTATCTTTACCAGGAGGAACTGATGTTGTAGGATGATGATTATCCCATTGTGCCGGACACCCTCTACACTGCTGTAGAGTGTGGTGCTGTAGAGAGGTGTTGCCTTCCTAGTATGCCTGGCTGCTAAGTCAGAGCTTGGAGAGACTGCTCCATTGCAAAGCACTTGTCATCATGATGGTGTCATATGAAGTTCTTCAAGATCTGTAGTCGGATACCGAATCTGAAGAGGTTATAAATTTATTTACCAACAGTGCATCAAGCTTAGTGTACCCAGTTGCACTGACACTTCAAGTCTCTTTTGAACTGAAATAAAAGCAAATGGCAGAGGCTGAGGCTTTCAAGATAATATCATTTATCTTCTGAAAATCTGCTTTTTAGATGTCAGGCAAAACAATTTCACAGTAGCTAGAAAAAATCTTGTCTGGCATCACTGTATTTTTACTGGTCTTTAATGTAACTTTAAAATATTGGGCCATATAGCTGTGTTAAATTTTCTATCGATTTCTCACACAGTCTGATAACACAAATAAAAAAAATGCCTATAATTAGACACCATTTCTAAAGCTGAGGGACTCTGCAGAAAGCCACACGGCAAGCTTCCTTTGCATGTAAAACTTCAAAGTGCTTCCTAGATTCATGAACTACAGGTAAACAAGAAGTCAGCAGGAAGAGTGTCAGTAAACAATGAGGAAAAAAATCCTGCCTTCATGTCTGAAGGAGATATTTTTCCCTTCTGAGAGATGCTAAACCCAAGATGTTCATAACTGCAGGACAAAGTGTCCAAGTGGCTTCAATACAGTTCTCCTTCCCAAGGATTGCTTACAGAAAAGAGGATTGCTCACAACTTCTTCTGGCTCAGAGGCAATTCAAAATGCCCAGGTGATCTTCAGGTATCTTCCTTGGAAATGCTGTCTACTAGTGCAGCACTGCTTGGCTCCTGTGAGAGAGGAATGGCAGAGGAATGACCCACTGGTACTGCAGCTCAGCCCACAGTTAGCCCAAGATTAGGATGGCAAATCCCTTACCATAGAAGCCCAAATTGTGCCAAGGATTTGTGGTTTTGAGTATCTGGATATACTCTGCAGCACTTTCTTCCTTTTCTGCTTGGCCTTCAGTCTTTGTGCAAAAAAGCTTCTTCTTTAAAGCTGATAGTTTAACAGTCGTCCTTGCAGTTAAAACAGCAACAAGAAAAACCTAACCAGCCAGTCAAAAAGGGTGATTTATGAGGTTTTATAAAACTTTTGTTGGAATAAAGATCACTTGAGTCATTCTCCTCTGATTCACCCATACTTCATGTGAAAGCAAGTCCCTTCCACAGAGGAATTCAGCTGCACTCAGTCCCTGGTAAATTCAGCTGATGAGACGGCTCCACTGACTCTCTCCATCACGGCAGTAGCTCTTGCTGCCTGACTCTGGGGCACATTGCTGCTGCCAGCTGTGACTTAGCATAATTCTGCTCAGTACCTGGACTGCTACATGTCCAGGGGCTTATCAGGGATGAGCAGAGGTTTATGAACTTTCAGGAGCTTGTTTCCAAAAGGCCTCTTGTTCAAAAGTCATAATGAAGAAACCAGTCCTTACTGGAACAATCTTATTCATTTTAGCTTGGGGTTCAAGCTTTAAGCTGCTCTTCTGTCCCTTCCCCTTGGAGGAAAGGGAAAAACTTGAAGACTAGCAACAGTCTGCAGAACCTATGAGGAACCATAAAAGCAGTCTTACATTTTCTGGCTGATACTCTTGCCATTCTGGTCCAACAACTGCACTGATACTGAGGTGCATGACATTGCAGGGGTCAAAAAAATCGTGCAATTATTCTCAGTTTCACCTTAATACTTCTTGCCATGTTTCTCTAGAAGATCCATGAATCCTATATATCTTTAATCACTAAGGAGTTAAAGAGGCAGCACACTGTGGCTCTGCCGCCACTGAAGTCTCCTTTTTTACTGGATAACATCATCTGGTGGTGGTCCCTTTCTTAGGATGATGTCTGCTCCTAGTTATATTTATTAGACCCTATAGAATCCCCTTCTTATAGTAAATTATATCTTCTTAATGACACAAGATTTTATACTAATATTATAGTCTCTACTGACTGATGTCTAGGGACCCGGGGAGGAGAGGCAAGTGAAATGTATTCTTCAAAAGTTGCCTAGCAGGGCACGTCTTCACTGGGGGATTTTTTTTAATTAACCTCTTACAAAAACAGAAAATCATAATTTAATTCAGATGTCTTTTATTATGGTTTAAAGTTATCAACAAAATAACAAGGAACAGAGAGATCTCTGTGCAAGAAAAAAGCTATGACACCCTGCTGCTGAGGATTTGGAGGGCTTTGGAAGTATGCTTAATTCAAACAGGAGTGTACAAGTACTCTTAATTCAATCCGAGAGCAGGTTAACACTGAAAGGGATTGTCCTATTTTCTCTACACCTGTCCATGGGGTCCCACTGCCCCCTTTGCACCGCTTCCATGCAGTGGGTTGGATCAGCATGAAATGAAATCATTGTTCCATAAGATGACTCACATTACAAAGCTGTACCCTGGGATCCTGTCATTAAATCCCCCACAAGTGATCCTCTAAAAGCCCTCCTCTTAAGGGTGCCAGAATAGTGAAAGCAGAAGGCATTTACATTTCCCCTGAAGACCCAGTCCTTCCATCAGCCCTCAGAGCAGTCTGCTGACTAAATCTTCTATGTATTTGAATAATTTATCATATGAATAAATTCATTTATGCCAAACAAAGAGGTGGACTACTGGGATGTAGTAATGTCAGCACAACAAAATTGAAGCTGGGGAAGTGGGGGAAATGAACCCATAACAATGGCAAATGGTACCGTCTGCTCAGGAGGCAGGAGACAGCTGTGGCCACATCTGAAATATGAGAGTGTAGGGAGGTATAGAGCAGCATCTAAAAAGGGCTTTAGAATAAGCAGAGCTGAACAAAAAACAAGCTGCTCTATTTGAGCTGAAAAAATATGGTTGTTATAAAATGACTGAAAACTAAATTGCAAGTTTTATGTCTCATTCCAAATTTTCCAATTCAGAAAGTATGTAAGTAACATTCCTATGTCTCCTAGTTCCCAGTGGTATTTAAGAAATAGATGTCTCAACTCCTGTCAAATGATCTGTCACCCCAAGCCCTTGACCCAGGCAACTGATGAATGTGTTACAGATGCATACAGTTCAAAGACCAAAAATATTAGAAGTCAGAGCTCAAGTAGGGTAAACCAGCTTTGGTCCAGCTTACACCAGCTGCTAATCTGCTCTGTAAGTGTCTTACAGCAGTGACAGTTGGAAGGATGATTGTTTGCATTTACTGAATGCTGATGAAGGCTACCTAACTAGGCGTGCTTTGTTCTCATTTGTGGCCAGGAGACTGATCATACTGAGCATTTTTAAAAACCGTCCTTCTTTAGTTGTTCTTCGATGAAATCATTACATGCCACAGTTAAAGCAGCAACCAGAATGACAAATTCATTAAAATCCACTTCATTGTCTTTATTGGAGTCCAGATCTTTCATAATTTTATCAACCAGAAGGGGGTCCTTTTGGCCCTAAAGAGAAAAAAAAGTGACTTAGCCATGCAGATCTTAAGTGCATAATCCTGACACATGCGGTGGTGCAACCCACCACTATGTCACAAGCCCTTATCCTATTAAATTAAATAAAAGGCTGCATGAAATATGCACCTGACTAGTAATCTAGTAATATACCACTAGCCACAGACACAGCATTAAAAACATAGGTCTGGAGTCCCAGGAGTGCACAGCAACAGAAACTGAAAGCAGTACAGCTCTTAGAAGGAACACAGGTACTCAGTAGGCACTGAAATTAATCAAACAGATTTTAGGAGCTGCTGAGTACTGATTTCTTTTGACAAGATGGATCTATAATGTGCATTTCTCTGTATCATCGTATACAAACTGTACTTATATTTTCAACAGGCTATTTGTAAGTGGTTGTATCATACATGCATTCATCACATTCAGAAGACCTCTACTTAGCAAACAACACATCCTATTCAGTGAAAGAATAATGAATCTCATAATAATAAAACAATAGTCAAGATTAAAAGTAAATACAGTTCAAGGAAATGGATACCATGTAAAAAAAATCCTGCTGGTGGTGATAAATTTTTACAATTGAGAGGATACAGAAAAGCAACTGTGAATCTAGTCATTATTCCATAAAAAGCATCCATACTGTGTAATGCAGAACATAACAAACATGCAAAGAGATATTAAGATCAGCAGTTTGTCGCTGAAAGGATTTTCTTAGCATCTGTCTGCGGGGCACACAAGCAGCTATACTGTGTTTGTAGCCACTATGCACAAGCTACTTTCTTGTCTCATGAGAAATGGTTGCTGGATTTCATTGAAGGACTCATATATGCCCTGTTACATCCTGGAAGTGTTCAAGGCCAGGCTGGGTGGGGCTTTGAGCAACCTGATCTAATGAAAGCTGTCCCTGCCCATGGCAGCGTGGTTGGAGCTAGATGATCTTTAAGGTCCCTTCCAACCCAAACCATTCTGTGATTATATGATGATAAATGAACAAAAAAGCAAAAAAAAAAAAAGCTATTAAAACCTGATTTAGCACTGATTTTGCTACTGCTTCTAGACTGCCCTTTCCCTCCTGCTCAAAAGCACAGAGGAGTAAGCAGGGCACGGGTACCCAGCTCTGCTGCTGGTGGCACATGGCAGGCCAACCGAACTGGACCGGTCTCTGAGGACACATTTCTCAAATGGGGCATTTGATCTCATCTCCTTCTGTCTGACTCCACAAAGTAAAGTGTCGTCTGAGAGGCTGTGGCAGGATGTGCCTTGCAGAAGGAGATGCTACTCCTGAACACTTGGATAGCTGCTTATCCCACCCATGAAACAGTTACTCAAGAGGTTCAGGAGCTGCATCTTACTGAAAGGAAGTCAGTGAGCTCACTGGTGAGGAGGTCCTTAAGTTCTCCTTTACTGAGCTTGTATTTGTCTCCTTCTTTTCCAGAGTAGTGATGGAAAATCCTAATCAAGGTGTCCATCGCGTCCTCCAATGGTGTGGACATAGCAGTGAGCAGGAGAGCTGTGGGACAAAGATTCAGAGTTGGTGACATTGCATGAGAGCTAAACCAAAGGCTGGTCTCAGGGAAGGGGGAGAGAGTAGGCTGAAGAGAGAAATTGTAACAGTACTGAAAAAAATGCATTTTCAGTTCCTCCATCCTGTTAGCTGTGTGTGAGCAAGCCGAGACTGTTATAAAGTAAAACATTGTCCCGAACTCACTAGTAACTACTTTGAAAAGGTAAACAAAACCCAAAGAAGTTCCTTTATTTAAGGAAGTGATCTATTATGCCTCTATTTTGCAAAGCTAGTGTAAAAGGAAATATCTCATACCCACAGATGAAAACACAGGCAAAATAAAAGCACACCTCCTACTTGTTCATTCAAAAATTTTCTCAAGAAAATGAGATTAACAAGTAACAGTGGCCAAAGTAGATGTGCATTTGTACAGAAGGTTCTACACCAATTTCTTAGGTGGTTAGAGGAAAGTCACTAGCAATAAGGATAGAAGCATCAACTTCCAGTTTATTTGGTTGTGTTTACTTGGGCTGACCTTTTTCCTGTAAAGTACCTGGAATAAACAAATATAAGCAAGGCACCCTTGAGGGTTTGCTTCATCGAGCATGCAGTAAGAAGGTACACAGGGAAGTACCACCAAGAAAAAAGATGGAAACGCAATTAATTGCTGAGTAGCTGACTCAAAAAATAACTAAAATTAGAAATCAAGCGAAAGGGAAACATTATGTTGATTAAGCCCTGGGAGAGAGTTTAAAGAGCCAGGATGAATTCGAAGTAAAACTGGAGTCCTGAACAGTATCATCATGCAAAGGCTAAGACTTACCTGCTTTACGGGCTAGCTGAGGTGTATGCAAGAAAATACTCAGATCACAGAAGGTGATGGCCACCTTCCTTTCAAAACCCATGCACAGGCTCTTGTTTATCAGGCTGAGAGGGTGGATTACACAACTAGAGACAGACGGATAATTGTCACAACGATGACAGGGTTTCTGTTTCCCTCTGCATTTGTCTACTCTGCTCAATAAAAGCCGCTTGCTGTAAATGGGTTACTGAAATATTCACTAGGCAAAGCAGAGGGCTGTGTGGAACATATGAGATACTTTTTATCATTTGACCATCTACAAATATGCCCATACAGGGGCCTGAAGACCAAAATTAGAAAATGCTATCACCAAGTCAGTATAAAATAATTTTCCCCCATTTTCAAAACAACTCTTTCTAATCTGACTCTGCAATTATACAGCTGACAGCCTAAATGCCTTGGCACTTAGAGCCGGTGTTCAAAGATACTTGGGTCCCTGGGGCTAGGCTTGTAGGTGAATTTGCCACAAATCCCTTGAGATGTCTACCTTTATTGTAAGATGTCTCTGTAAGACTAAAACATTGGCTGTTGCTGAATGAAATTCTTGCTGTAGTACATGTGTCCTCAGGAGGAAATGAGGAAACCAGTTTCAGAGGGAGGTGTGACTGAAATTACAGTGTGGACTGATCAACAAACATGGCTTCATTTTTATTAGTGCTGCACAATAACTGTGGTTCAGCATCTCTCTTTTAATAAGTGATCTTCCCCCAGGAAACCTTCCCCTGCTCCAAGCCCAGGGACTTGCTGACACCAGAGGCAATGTCTGGGGGATGCAAGAAACAGGAGCTTCACCATGATAGGGCCTACTTACCACCCAAAATACCAAATAACCATAGTTTTCAGGACAGCCACATGAAATGGAAAACTGCTTGCTTCACGTTTGCTTTCTCTCAATAAAGCCTTCCACCTGCTGCACACACATGTGCAGCAAGCACAACTGTGCAGATAAACAGCAAGAGAGCACACAGCTGCAGCTTTTTCTCTCCTTTATTCCAACCAGGGGGGAAGAGAATGAGATGGGCATTGTTTTTAGCTCTGAAAGCCTCCAGGCATGTATAATTTTGAGTGCCACAGTAGATCTCAGCCCACAGCTCTGCCTGCCTCCTTTGCTTCTGGACATGCTGTTTCTTCCATCTGCACCCTTGTGACAAGTCTCCACAACCTGAGGGGTCTTGGCTGTGCCTCTGGGAGAAGGGAGAGGGAGGAATGGAAGACACATAAAAATTCTGGATCCCAGCAATATGGGAGTGTGTAGAGCATTGTTTCTAAAACAGTAGGAAAGGTCTTCTGGTTAGAGGTTCCTGTGGACATACACAATACTGCATGCAGGGTGTATGCCTTCACCTCCCAGTACTGTGGTCATGAGTGCTCACCAGGGGTGAGAGCCGGTGCTCAGGTAAACTTTAGAAAAGGTCCAGGTGGAAAGCAGCCTGCAAATGTTGATATGCAACAAGAGAAACCTCATATCTCCTGGAGTCAGAGGAGAGTTGGGGAGGAGAGTTGCTCTCCATACCTCTTCTGTATCTGGGGATAGCTAATGGGTGCCCAGTTTTGTACAGAGGGAGTTCCTGTGCTCCAGCAACCACAGGGATCTAGCTGGACCATATGCAGCACATGGGAGAAGAGCATGGGTAATATCAGATGCAGCACAGCATTCCCGCTTCGATCCTGGACATTCTCTGTGTCTTTGCAGATGCTAAGAAGAAGCATGGAGCCTCTTATGTAGCTACAGCCATGCAGGGCTATGTCTTGCCTGTGATTCACTAATGTTTATAACTATTGCTCAGAAATATTAACCAGATAGATAAACATCAAAATACCATTGTTTTTTTTTTTTTCTTTTTTTTTTTTTTACATTTATTCAACAACAGTTTCACCCACTAGACAAAAAAAACACAGCTAAGTCAATACATAAGTATAAAATCCTTCTGCTTGTCTATATATTACATTGGTCCTCTGGCTGATGAATATTGCAAATTAATTATCTAAGCAGAGTCTACAGGAGGTACAACTACCAGGAAGCAGGTATAAACTTTCAGACCTGCCATCCTCATGACAGAAGAAAGAAGGGTTTCCTCTATCATGTCCAGGACATCAACTCAATAATTTACACAGTGATATAATCTGCGCAGGCTCTTTCAACAGCTACTTTCACTCCAGTTAATTGTGTAAGAAAGTCTCTATTCCACGCTAGTGGATTACATGTACATTGGGAACAGCTGCACTGAGCTTGTTTGTTAAGAAGTCCATTCAATTTGCTGTCTCTATCCCTTTCCTCCCCAGCTAGTGAAATCCTGCCAGTGGCTCCAGTGACAACAGAGACCTCTTCAGTCCCATGACAGCAAGTCCTAGAGGCTACACAAAATTCATTATTATCAATCAACTCTTTTTAATCCTTCATCCAAAACTCCAGCACAATCTGATTTTATATGATATCTAGTAGGTACTGAAGATAACTAAAGTCAACTCAGCTTGCAATCACTTCTGTATGAGGGCAAGACCCAACTCTGTGTCAGCAACCACCATATTCCCCATCAATTCTCCCCTGCATTCTGGTTTCTACCTGACTAAACACGGGAGCACCACCAGACATGTGATTGACAGAAGGAGTAGACCTGCAGCATGACTGTAGACATGGTGAAGTTTGGTGCCTTCCTCATTCATGACCAAACTTTGTCCTTCACAACCTGCCAAATCACAGCAGTGTTGGTGGGAAGGCACGTCTGGAGGTGCCTAGTCCCATCTCCTGCTCCAAGCAGGATGGTCACCAACACCAGACCAGGTCAGCCATGGTTTTGTCTAGTTAAACCTTGAAAACCTCCAAGGATGGAGCTATCACAAGTTCTTGGGTAACCTGCTCTAGTGCTGCACTACCTCCCCGAGAAAGGTGTTTACCCTAATATTCAGTCTGAGAATTCCAAGCTGCAATTATGGCCATTGGCCCTTTTTGCACCACCTACCACTACCACAAAGAGTTGGCTTTGTTGACTTTATAAATTCCCTTGCTCCTCACTCAAACTCAAAAATAAACTTGAAAGCAGCTTGTGCCCTGACTCACCCAATCTAGGTACATGTTTTAGTGTCCCCTTCACATTATGTGCTTGCTCCTTGCAGACTGCTCCAGCTGTTTCTCCTAATGACGATTTCAATCCTAAAGCACTCACTGCAAAATCAATGGCTGTCAGAAGCAGAAGGGCAGATTTTTCACCCGGCATGACACAAATACTCTGTAGGGCCAAATTCTGCCATCTTTGCCCAAGCAGTGATAGATGCTAGGCCTGCAGAATGAGTCAGCCATGTGATTTCACCAGAGGCTTCTGAGAGAGGCAGAGGTTGTTCTTGCCCTGTAAATCGAGAAAGGACCCAACCAGCTACAACTGCTTCCTTGATTTTCAGTTGGGGTAATGTAGAGGTGCACCCATCTGGGAAGTCCTATGAGTCTGCTCCTCTGCTCCTACATGCAGATGGGCAGTTAGACCACAGGCAGAAAATGTTATTGCTGGTCTCTGCTCCTCATAAAACTGAACAGAGTTCTTCCCTCTGTGAAAGCAATCAGCCCTTGACATAGGTCAGCAGCCTTCCTCTTCCACCACTGGGAAGAAGAAGCTTTGGCTTCTTCACCAGGATTTTTCTTTGGTTTCTTCTTGAGACAACGTAACACAAGCTGCCTTTAAGCCAGAGCAGCCTATAAAGTGACAGCCTAAGCCACAGTAAAATACTGCTCAGCTTAAGTGGGAGGATCTCATACTTAGGGCATCTGGTTTTCAACATTTGTCAGAATGCATGTGGGGAATATTTTCTCACAAATAATTATTGCGCTGGGAAAGGCAAGTCAGCTTCCCACCCACATCCTGCCATTATTTATTTTTCCCAAACCCACACTGTTCTTGGGATGCACGTGTTTTGAATTGATGTTGCACCCCCAAAGTGGAAAAAGTTGTAATGGGAAACAACAGGCAACACTGCAAAGCTCAGAAGAACGGATATTCTATACACTAAAAAGCTTACTCTAGATTAGATCTTAGATTAGACTAAAGATCTTATTAATATGGACTAAAGACCTTATGAGAGACTTCCATTCAAACCGGTATTTCTTGTTAAGTTGTAATGAGCATTTTTCATTTTTAGGATTTTTAGCATTTTCATTTATGTTTTTCTTCCATATCTGAGTGGTTGATTGATTTATCCCTTTACCTCAGGCATGTCTCCCTTCCTCACAGGTTCTGGTTCACATCTTCAAGACTGTTTTAACTGCTGTGATCCCACAGGCAGAAGGATAGCAAAGAGCTATTAAAAATCTTGCTAATAGCTTTTACCACCTAAATTTGGTGGTTTACTCTGTAGGCATCTTTTATAATGGGTTACACTTCAAGGGCTGCCCAACTGAAGTGTATCCTGATCTCACTCTGCTGGGTCCTGTTTTGTACAAGATTGTACACTTCTTTTCCAAATATGTAAATTACCGTTTCATTAAAATGTCCAGATCATTGAACTCTGTTTGTACCCATAGTGGTCATTTCTCTTGTGATACTTGTTTAGGACAGAAATTGGAGCATTGTCTGTACTAGGGGTACTGACTTTGGTTACCATCTACTGTTCCCTTCTCCTCCTCCCAGAAAATCAGCCACCATGTCCTCCCTCTGCAAACAACCACTTGTTAGTAGCCTGAGAAGGGAACATCATGTTGTATAGGAATGTATTGTTGTCTGGAAAATAGCCTGGAATGACTTAATTAGCCCTAAAGTGGAGTTTTGAAGTGATATTCTGGCTATACAATCCTTTCTTCCTCATAAGCCTCTGAAGCAGATGTATGAACCCAGCTGTGTATCAGCCAAGACATTTATTACTTTAATGCAGTCTACCTACACTAAGGAAGAATACCAAAATAGTGTAGAACACCCTAGTGTAGACACAAGAGTCGGAACCATCTCTGCCACAGGTAGCAGTGGGGGTTCCTGTTACAGAGCAGCTCTCCCCACCCCACCTCATGACCAGAGAACACGCATCCAGCACCATTTGGCTTTGGTAGCTCATGGTACAGCTAGTATTTGGCAACACATCACCTGAACAAAGCCAAAACAGTAAACCCCTTTGCTTTAAATCCACTGATCAATAAGGCGAATCCACCCTTTGGAGACACAATGTTTCTTCTGAGACACACTCATGTTTCTTCATAATTCGAACTTGTATCAATGTACAGCAGCCTTTGTCCTAGTTCACTTCAATTTCCAGTTTCCTCTGTAGGGCTTTTGCAACTTGCAAGGGGTGGTCCTGTGTCACAGGACAGTGGCCAAGTCACCTACCAGGTTGTAGCAGTAGGAAAACCAGGTTTTCCCTTTTCCTCAGCGGGCTGGTAAATGACTCCTGCCTTGGATCCTCCTTCCTGGTCTCCAACTACCCACACAGTAGCTATGATTTTGGGAATGGGTTTCCTAGGGCTGGTATGACTAGCTCTATGGTGGCAAGGAGCACCTCTAAGCAGTGAAGGCCCCTGGCCTGTACAATTACATGCTTGTACATGCTCTTGGCCGTGCCATGATGTAAAAGTAGCCACCAAGGCTCCAGGTGCAGAGCTCACTGAATCTTTTCCATCCTCTCTGCAATGTGAGTCATGTGCTAAAGTGGGCCCATCTTGAGATAACTGGCAAATAAACTCACGTTCCTTATCACCAGTGCTGAAATAAATATTTACCTAAAGATGCAGTGAAAAAAAAAAAAAAATACACCTGACTGACTTGATTCAAAAATCCTGGGTAGCATTGATTTTAAATCAGTGTAGAAAAATGAGGCAAGTAAAGTTTTCTCTTAGTCTGTATGTATATAAAAAAAGGAGG